TCTCTATCAGAAATAATAGTCCATTCCTAAATATATTCACCTCTATCAGAAATAATAGTCCATTCCTAAATATATTCACCTCTATCAGAAATAATAGTCCATTCCTAAATATATTCACCTCTATCAGAAATAATAATCCATTCCTAAATATATTCACCTCTATCAGAAATAATGGTCCATTCCTAAATATATTCATCTCTATCAGAAATAATAGTCCATTCCTAGAAATAATGGTCCACTCCAAAACTTTAACACCTTCATACTATGATCATATTTCTAGGTTGATTCTGATCCAAGAATTAAATCTGGTTTCCTCTTGAAGGAGTTGTATACTCATATATTCAATAAGTTATGGAGTCAAATACAAAGCCGTTACTATGCAGTATTGTAAAACAGTGTTTACAAAGCTTCATTGTTAACTTTTTTATTTTAAGGCAATATTGTCGTTAAGAGGTAAAGAATTATCAGTGAAACAAAAACCCAAAGTCATTAATAAGGAAGAGACGGCAAATCCACTATATCTAAAGACTCTTCTACAGGTGGGTATGTCTTCAATCTTTATGGTGGAATTACCGGTACTTGTGAAACAGAGCCCTCTTGTGGTGATTATTTGCAATCTTTCGTTTTTTTATGACAAGCTTATTGACATGTTGTTTCAGTGTAATCCAATTCCAATGAGCTTAGTAACTTTCTAAAAATAGTAATGTTTAGAAAACAATGGTTACTTGAGGTTAATAAACACAGTTACATTTAATTTTCAGGAATTGTGCAGCTTTGGAGATTTTTGGAAGCTTGATGAATATATTGATTATGTATTGCAAGCAGACAGGTTAGAGTATATTCCTGTTTTTTTTTTTTAGATTTTTGATACTCAACATGTACCGTATTAAGAATGAGGTTTTAACAACCAGGTATTAATAATGGACGAATTTACTGCAAATTTTTATCCTAGGTTACAAATGAATTGTTTAAAATTTTATATTACTCAAGTATCATTGTTTTTTGCTGATTTACAAATAATGTAAAGTCATTTATGTTCACTGACATTTAATTTCACTATTTTAAAGTTGTGAGCATGTTCACTTGGTTTAAATTTCACAAAAGAAAACAGGAGTTTTATTGTTATTTTTTCATTTTCACGTTGATTTAACGGATTTTAGTTATCGGTGAAAATAGCAAAATTAAAACCCATGTATAATATGTGCATGAGTGTGTCAATAAACTGATCAGTTTTCATCTTGGGCTGGTTTTACTAAATGTTCTTGCTTATTTGCAAAGCATATATTATGCATGTATTGTGTTTTTGAATATTGCCATATTCTTGCTAATTTTTTGTTTCGACAATCAAACCTGTTTTATGTGCCTGTTGTGTTTTGTGACTCTATTGGTTGGAAATGTGTTTGATTGACATGTATGTGGTATGCAACCTTCTGGTACCTAATTTTTTGTTTTCCCTGTTTTTTTTATCACCTCGCAAAATATCAAGCAGCAGTAGCACTTTGATTGTGTGTGTTTTTTTTTTATAGCACAAATTCAGCATTTCATTTCTCACGGTGTTTATTACAAATCCATTTGTATCATTGCAGTACACAAGATTTATTTGTCAAGATTTTAGAACGTCTAGAGAAGGATTTCAACCCGGAAGATCGCCATGACAATATTGTTGCCAAGGTAATTATTCATATGTAATTTACACAATTGTAAACACAAAATTTTATATTTATCTGTTTATTTTTTTAAAGCTACATGTTTGTCTCTCATACAGTCATCAAGTAAATAAAGTATTATAGACCTTGTGGTCAGTGCGCCCTCTAAGCCAATATGACTAGCCATTGCCGCAAACAGATTTGTATTGACGTAAATGGTTGTGCTAATTCACTGGCACGTCTACAGAAAATTGTACATCAATATAATGAACTTGAAAAACATTTTACTAAAGTTAAGGAATAAGTAATTTGATTAATATGAAATTCGTATTTTATAAACAAATTAGTTTAAAAAAAGCGATACACTCATATTTTATTTTTATTTTTACTTGAAGACCGACTTTCCAGCAGTCGAAAAGCTGACTCAACTTGATTTTTGAGGATTTCATTTTGACTCAGGATCCCTACAAAATCAGTTCTGTTAGAGGGCGCACTACATGTTTCTTTGAAATCCATCTCAAATTGAAAATTTTATTTAACAAATAGAGTTTGTGCGAATGATCTTTATTATTATTTTGTGATAACACTCGGTGACAGATCGATGATACATTTTTTGTTGTTGATCTTTTGACATATTTTGGAACAGAAATCATGATTGTAAAATTTCTCACAAAATTAATTGTTGCATGGTTGTGTATGTTTTCAGGTGATGAGTTGTATTCTTGTATCACGTTACGGATTATCCGATCAAGAAATCAAATCAATAATCAACTTACCGGATCAGCTGTGGTCATCAATTTATTTTGCAATGGACGACTTTCTTATTGATAGAGAAGGCATCTATGGGTGAGTTAACAATCGTTGTCTTCATTAGAAAACAGGAATAATATAAAACAAAGCGTTGGAACTATTATTACAACTACATATATACCAACTATTATTACGTTATGGTTCATAGCTAGTATAGATAGCTTTTTATTTGCTCGGCTCAATGAAAGATCAGAATACAACTATTTCTCAATATGGGCGTAAAAATTCAACCACCTAATTTAGTGGCTTTTAAAATTTTAGGCTTTAATTAATGAAATTAATGAATTAACACTACGTGGTGTTATGTTAACCGGAAGATTCAAAACATTTTGCAAAGGATCAACTACTTAGTTGCAGTATGATCTGTTGGTGTTGATTTCGCGATTAGCACTTTTTTAAAGCTAAATCCAGTACTGAAATATTTTTAACAGATTTCATGATGATGTTAAACAGATGAAATGTGTATTTTACCCATTTGTGCAATGAATCTAAATGTCTTTTGTTCGGCAATAATACTGTCATTTGATTTTTTGTGGCCATGAAACATCACAAGCATTTTTTTTGGATGCAAATGTTGCGACAAATGTTTGGCATATAACATTTTTTTTAATGATTGGTTTTCACTCAAAAAACTGTAACCAGTTCAAAATTTCAACGGAATTTTGAAATATAAAAATCGTTTTTTCAAAGATAATTTTGTGTGGTTTTGCAACTACCTTTACATGCCTTACTTGGCGGTTAACCCCCCCCCCACAAGATAATGAATGTACAATACAATGGTGTAAGATAACACGTGTGGTTTAACACTTATATCTAATCACATTGTTGACCTGATGACAAAACTGATGTCCTCTATGTATCTTTACTTTATACAATGATAACGTTATGCAACATCATGCATGTGTCACATGATCCACACTACAATACATCGGTATTTTGCATTGTCATACAAATTCTTAAGTCCAGTCAATATCTTTCGTCCTTGAAAGACAACAGTCATTGTTTTTTTCACAACCTAATTTCCTAACATACTGGTGACTTGAGATGGCCAATTTTATGGCCCAAATTATTTTCAGCCCATGGTGGCCAACCACTGGCTACTGGTGGCCAACCACTGGCTACTGGTGGTCATCTACTGCCAACTAGTGGTCATTTCTACTGCCAACTGGTGGTCATCTACTGCCTACTGATGGTCATATACTGCCAACTGGTGGTCATCTACTGCCTACTGGTGGTCATCTACTGCCTACTGGTGGTCATCTACTGCCTACTGATGGTCATATACTGCCAACTGGTGGTCATCTACTGCCTACTGGTGGTCATCTACTGCCTACTGGTGGTCATCTACTGCCTACTGGTGGTCATCTACTGCCTACTGGTGGTCATCTACTGCCTACTGGTGGTCATCTACTGCCAACTGGTGGTCATCTACTGCCTACTGATGGTCATATACTGCCTACTGGTGGTCATCTACTGCCTACTGGTGGTCATCTACTGCCTACTGATGGTCATATACTGCCAACTGGTGGTCATCTACTGCCAACTGGTGGTCATCTACTGCCTACTGGTGGTCATCTACTGCCTACTGGTGGTCATCTACTGCCAACTGGTGGTCATCTACTGCCAACTGGTGGTCATCTACTGCCAACTGGTGGTCATCTACTGCCTACTGGTGGTCATCTACTGCCTACTGGTGGTCATATACTGCCAACTGGTGGTCATCTACTGCCAACTGATGGTCATATACTGCCAACTGGTGGTCATATACTGCCAACTGGTGGTCATCTACTGCCTACTGGTGGTCATCTACTGCCTACTGATGGTCATCTACTGCCTACTGATGGTCATATACTGCCAACTGGTGGTCATCTACTGCCAACTGGTGGTCATCTACTGCCTACTGGTGGTCATCTACTGCCTACTGGTGGTCATCTACTGCCTACTGGTGGTCATATACTGCCAACTGGTGGTCATCTACTGCCAACTGATGGTCATATACTGCCAACTGGTGGTCATATACTGCCAACTGGTGGTCATCTACTGCCTACTGATGGTCATATACTGCCAACTGGTGGTCATCTACTGCCTACTGGTGGTCATCTACTGCCTACTGGTGGTCATCTACTGCCTACTGGTGGTCATATACTGCCAACTGGTGGTCATCTACTGCCTACTGATGGTCATAAACTGCCAACTGGTGGTCATCTACTGCCAACTGGTGGTCATCTACTGCCTACTGGTGGTCATATACTGCCAACTGGTGGTCATCTACTGCCTACTGGTGGTCATCTACTGCCTACTGGTGGTCATCTACTGCCTACTGGTGGCCAACCACTGTAATGCCTACTGGTGGCTTACTGGTGACTAACCATCACTTACTTGCATACTGCCATCTACTTCCTACTAGTGGTCAACCACTGCCTACTGATGGCCAACCACTGCCTACTTATGACCAACCACTGCCTACTGGTGGCCAATCACTGCCTACTGATGGCCAACCACTGCCTACTGATGGCCAACCATTGCCTACTTATGACCAACCACTGTCTACTGATGGCCAACCACTGCCTACTTATGACCAACCGCTGCCTACTGGTGGCCAATCACTGCCTACTGATGGCCAACCACTGCCTACTGATGGCCAACCATTGCCTACTTATGACCAACCACTGCCTACTAGTGGTCAACCACTGCCTACTGATGGCCAACCACTGTCTACTGATGGCCAACCACTGTCTACTGATGGCCAACCACTGCCTACTGATGGCCAACCAGTCTACTGATGGCCAACCACTGTCTACTGATGGCCAACCGCTGCCTACTGGTGGCCAATCACTGCCTACTGATGGCCAACCACTGCCCACTGGTGGACTTTTATACAACAGTGACTATGATGTCATAATTTATAAAATATACAAATAAAAAATAATCAATAATATAATATGGTGGTGTCAAGATAATTTTAATTTACTGTTTCAGAATAAGAACAGTGATCAACTTTACCTATTATATAACATATATAACAAGAGTAAAACACTGTTTATGTACAATATAAATGGTCATTCATGGCTAGGAACTCGCACATTTATCATGACTGGCAGATGCTGCAGTTTGAGATTTTGGTCAGTTTATGATGCTACCCATTTTACTATGAGCCACATGCAGTCTTTAAGAATGTTATTGAAGTTTTTTGGAAATGTCTGTACTTGTATCAAGCTCCTTCTTGCCTTGAGGGGCGATGTAGTTAGAATAGAAGAAATGGCTGAATAATAAAAAGTAGGTGTAATACATGCCAAGACCCCAGTATATATTGTTATAATATACAGGGCATGTCTCAGTGATTTCTAAATGGAAATAACTGTATATATTTATGTAGATTCCCATCATCATTTGGCATAGTTGCAAGAAGGTGATGACCATGTTGACTTGAACCGGGATTTTCACCATTCTGGAAGCTCGTAGCGCGTAGTACGAATACATGAGCGAGTGAACGAAGTAGTTCATGACTGTGTAGTAGATACCGCTCGGGACTCCTTCCGATAGCGTGTACCAGCTATATACGAGCACCGTCACATGGTGGTACCAGTGCAGGAACATTAGTTTCTGCTTGCGCAGCACTATGAACATGGTATCAAAAAGTTCAATCACTTTGCTGAGTGTAAAGAGGTAGACCCAGAATCCGCTGACGCTGTTGAGGAAACTTTTATCGCACAGGGTTTGTCGCCATCCTCCTTGCATGTACTCCTCCAGTAGTTTTGGGAAGACGCGGAAGAAGCCGATGATACTGAAGATGGCCAAGCTTCCCGACCAGACTGCTAGTGCACGTCGCAAATCATACTTTGGTCGTTGCTGCATGGCACTCCTCCCAGCATAGACTAGTACCATATATATTCCCGCATAGATCATGGAGTCGGTCCAGTTGCTTTGAAATCTTCCATGAACCATTCCATAACTGTGGTTTCTCTCCACATCTGTGATGAACCAGTATTCAACCATAATTACGATAAAACTCAACAAATGACACCAAATGAAATGACACGGGCAGGCACACCCTGTGACTGCCTTGCGTGAAGAGATCTCGTCCGTCTGTGAAATTCAACTGGTAACTTATTGCTTTATATAGTACCTGTGCTTGTGTCCGATCTTTGACCTCGTATATCATATGTAAATAGCCCCATCATGCAAAATACCTGCATAATTGCAGTGGCATGACAGGGTATATAAGTTTGCATTGCCAAAAAACAAGCAAATTAGGAAAAATATCGTTATCATTCAAGTTTGTAGTTTTCTTGTTTTCTGTTTGTGGTTTTCTATATATAGGTCAGGTTACTACTAGTGCACACGGCATCCCTCACGCCACACAGGTCAAAGTTCATATCGCCTCATAATAAATTTGACATGAACTGAATGCGTGTCATGCTATACTCGCAACAAAGTCGCCTCAAACTATTTAATGTCAAAATTGTCTTTCATTCTACAATGTAATTTCTCCCACCATAATTTTTGTGTCACATTTTGTATATTTTTCTTTATATTTCCATTATTTATAAGTTAATTTCGGACTGAGTGGAATAAACTTGCCATATTAAAATGTGAAGCAAATTTATCAGTGGTAAAACATTAGAAATCATGGGGGTGGGGGTTGTGGGTGGGGGAAGAATGTGAACAGTGCAATTTTTTGTGGTGTCTTGTCCTTACAATTTTATTTTCTTGATTTTTTGCTACAAATATTTCCTTGTATCACTCTGCATGCAATTTTTTTTTATAAACAAATCAACCCCCACCCCCAGGGGGCAGGGGTTATGTGTCTTATACTTTTATAAATATAGTGAATTGTGATCAATGAAAATTGCTGTTCAAAGTAAGAAGCTTGATTTCATTCAGAATTGCTGATTATGCAATTTTTTTTATTGAATTTTTGTAAATCAACAGGTTATACTTTTGAGTGGTAATTTGTGAAAATTTTCTAATTTGCAAAATATTAAGATCTAAATAATCAGAGCCACAACTTAGGAACCATTTATTTGTTTTTATTCTGAAAGCTGCACATTTTGTTGTTAAAATGTTGGTGTAACATATTTAACTTTTTTAGACGTCGTTTTGAAAACCAGATTAATTTATTTTTGTAATAATTTCAAAAATGGTTAGTCTGATTGCTACGATGTCTCTCTCACGTTATGCATTTCCATAAGCGGATGTATATCAACTGTCATCATAGGATAAAACCCAACTACAAGGACTTTTTTAAGATGTAAAGTCCGACTGAAGATAAAATCATAGAATGAATAGGTCCAAATATCAATGACCGGACATCAACTATTGGATTGGTCAAGGAGCAGTATATCTGTCAGATTAACATTGGTGTGAGCACTGAGTTTGAACCCAACCTCTGTGGTTTCTTCTTCGCATAGTAAAATTTAGTCAGTGTTGCATCTTTGACATTACGTGATTAGTGTTATAGTCTCAAACAATGTATAAGAACAAATGTGGGACATTTAGTTGAATGGCACACGGGACAATTTGATTGATCGAGAAACACTATATTATAAAGTGTGTTCAAATATTATTTTAGTATCACGAAAGTAAATTTTTTTTTAAATTCTCAAAATTTTGTTTTATTGTTTTGAATACCAAATTCAACTTTTAACATCTTTCAAAAAATATACTTGCAATATTTTTATTTTTATTTTTTTTTTGATCAAGCGGTGTAACCAATGAGAGACTATGAATCTTCGTCCAAAATTGACTTGGACATTTTTAGAAAGTTCCATAAAATATGCAAAATTTATGGGTGATTGTCGAAAGGGAAAAATGATGACAGTCAAAAGGTCATACATGACTCTCCTATTTCTGTACATCAATAGATGGTGTACTGCTTTGTCAATATTTGTATAGTAACTTTGCCAGCTATAGCAAATATAAATGCTAGTGATAAAAAAATATTCATATTCCTGTATATACAGCCAGTCTGATATAGTGCAAGAGCTGCAGTCACCTTTCATGATAGTTTGTTGACCCCATAATGTCTGATCAGTGATACAATTGTACTGGCAGGTCATTGTTACCTGTTTAGAAGCGTTGATAGAAAACAGCACCTAGCAACAGGTCTTGTTAAGTTTGCATTACCTAATTGTGTTGGATGTGACCTAGCTGTCTCTATCATAGCATGCGTGTATAAGTTGAACAGACACCTAACCACACAAAGACAATTAAGCTTGTATTCTCTCTCGTAGAATCGCATCTTCAATACAAGTAGGCATTAGCCGAAAATTGCAGTTATTTTAATTTAATGGTATTGACTTTATAATCCATTATAACCCTCTCCCTTCCCAGATTGATCTGCCCCTTAAAAAAAGTTTGTTGACCTACAAAAATTCAATTCACTGCCGTTTATATATTGTATACAAGTGCTTGATGAAATGATCTGAAGTTTGAGATTACATCTTCGGAATATTGTAATGAAACAACTTCAACTCCTTGAAACCCAGTATTTTTTACCTCGCCCGAATTTGAGTAAATTTGCATTTTTCATGTATTTTTGATTCAAATGGGCATAATTACCTATTTGCTCAAAGTTTTTGAAAACTGAAAAAATCAAGATGTTGAAGACTGTAAAATACTTTATTTTTGTTGTATCTTATTTTCACAGTAAATCAGCAAAAATATACACTTTTGATTACCACAATTAACATGAAAATACATTAAACAACAAAAGTAGTGGTGTCCAGCGATAATTAATTTCTTCTTATTTTGATATGGGACCCATGAAATGTACAAAATGGATTTGTTGTTGTCATGAAAATTAAACGTGCATGTACGACAACTGCAATACTTTAATAATAACCTCCATACTTGGTTGCAAATGAAATCTGAACATTTTTATTATTGAAACCTATTGAAAATTTCACATAATGTATTCGATGTGATCTCTATAACGTTATTTAATCACGTGTGTTTGTATTCCACTCATTAAGTTCTTACTATTCTATTGTTCAGGCATGTACTTTTGGTTTTGATTAATTGCTTTGTCTCGTTAATCTCCCTTTAAGTTAAGGATCAGGTCAGCCCAAGACTACAATAAATGCTTGCTGTTAAAGTTGATTTATTTATGGTTTTCCGTTCACATGTGCTTAGTCTTGTACATTGCACATTCTTAAGAGAATACCAACCATTCAGTGTTAAAAAATAAAAATACACCAAATGATATCTTGTCAGCAACTGTCAAGGAATACAATCTCGTCTCTTGATTGATGGATGGACCATTAGAAAAATTCTGGGAGGGGAAAATAGCGTTAAAAAAAAATGTAGCAAAAATGTGTAAGTTGTAGTCAAAGTGAAATTCAAATCGTAAATTCAGACAGACAAATACAACACTTTAAAATATTTAAATTATTACCCCCCCCCCCCGAAAAAACACCCACCCCCAATAATATGGGGGAGGGAGGGGGGAAGTTGCGAGTTGGAGCATTCTGATTCACTGATTGATTCAAATAAGTAGCCAAGAATTGTAATTTTTAAATAATCAATTGATTTCTTATCATTTTACAAACAAACAAAATTGTGACCAGACTTTATGAAAAATTGCAAAGTTAAATTACTTTTACAAAGCTGGGTGAAAAACTGGTTTGTGTGAAAATAATAAAAAATCCTATACATGAAAACATAAACAAAATGGGAGTAGAAATACTGTGCAAATAATTTTTCCCTGCACTTACGTTTTGAGCTTGATTTTTTTAATGATGTTGCTCTAATTTATGTTTGGCTGTGTATAATTTGTTTTTATAGCCCCCCCCCCCCCAAAGTTTCTAAAAATATCAACATTAAGGCAAACTGGATGAACTGACTAACTTAATCTAATATTGTAACACAAAATAATAACAATATTCCATATTGAAGCAATAATGTAAATATCTTTCATTTCGCAAGATATATTAATTTCATATATCAGCGAAAATCATTAGATTTTGAACATTGGGAATTTTTTCGTGGATGGCCTGAATTTTTCAGATATGTTATGATTTTCTGGTTACAATAAATGGAACGGTTTACATCACATCGTTGCAAGTTTTTGCATTGAATAATAAGAGTTCAAAGTTGAATTGTCACCTAATTGAGTTTCTTAGAAACGAATCCGTTATGCAAGACTTTTTCAGTTTTAAGTTCAGGCTTGCCTTTACCTGGTGCCATATAGGTTGAATAGAAGAAGTGACTGAACAGCAAGAAGTACGTGTAATACATAGCGAGGGACCAGTAAATATTATTGTAATATACTGGGCACGTCTTGGTGTTTTCCAGCTTGAAGTACGCGTAGATATTAAGATAAATGCCTACGATCATCTGACACAGCTGCAAAAAGGTGATGGCTATGTTGATTTGGACTGGGATTTTCACCAATCTGGAAGCGCGGATTGCATAATACGAGTACATAAGTGCGTGGATGCCGTAATTCATAACGTGGAAGTATATCCCGTACGGAATGCCATCAGTGAAAGCATACCATGTATAGATCAAAACGGTGACGTGATGATACCAGTGTAGGAATACAAGTTTCTGTTTGCGTAAGACAATAAACATGGTGTCGAAGAGTTCGGCCACTTTACTGAGTGTGAATGCCAGGGACCAAAACCCGCTGACCCCCTCCATGAAACTTTGGTCGCACAGTGTCCGTTGCCATCCTCCTTGGTTGTACTCCTCCAATAATTTTGGGAAGACGCGTAAGAAGCCGATGAGACTGAATACTGCCATGGATCCCGACCAGACTGCTAGCACCTTATGTAGGTCAAACTTTTGCCGGTGCTGCATTACTTTCCTTCCGGCAAATACTAATATTAAATAAATTGCAGAATAAACGAAGGAATCTGTCCAGTGTTCGAGAAACACGTTGTGCCAATAATTGGCATCATAGTTTCTCTCCACTTCAGTTGTAAACCAGTACTCAACCATATTACAAAGATTCAGGAAAAGATATCTCTTGAATAGCAGTATGACAAGCCCCTGAGTAGTGTTGTACCTGACCAGTTTACACAGTGAGACTTCACATTTGAAAGCATAGTGACCTCTGACCTTGTTTCTTATGGGTGTGTCATATGCAAATTATTTTATGTTAAACAGGTGGGGTGATTCTGGTCCCATGTCTTTGCCTGATGATTGTTGTATGCAGAGCAACGATCTTTATTTAGTTCCGCTTAGTTCTTTCTCTCTTGAATTTCTTCAAATCCTAATTATAAAGGAGAAATATTAAAGAGTCTCCTACTATGCTTCTTATTATAGTATGGTTTTATTTATATCATATTTAATTGCTATTATATTTATTTAAGTTTTTTTTATTAGTTTGTTTTTGTTTTAAAGCAATTTTTTGAAAAATTGCACATATTATTTCACTTTTAAAATACATTATTTAAATTATATGTATACTATTTGCTGCTGTTTTAAATAAATATAAATAAACATATGTTGAAATAAGCAAGATTGTTGTGCATTATTTAATTGTACCAGTGTCGTTCTGTAAATTCATTTTGTAGAAAAAACAAGTTCTCAAAAAAAAAGTTTCAGAATTCGCCAAAATTTCCTCATATAAATGGTGTCAACCAATGGTGATTAAAAATGGATTTTTACCAACTTCAATGGATTTTTCAACATTTGTTTTAAACATGCACTGTTTTGTTCAGACTATAACAATATATGCATATTGGATACTCCTTCAAAATATCAATTTAATTGAAGGAAAAAAATACATAAAATGAAGTTTCAACTACGTATCATTTTAATATTTAAGCAGTTATAAAACCAAACAAATGAAACATTCCGGATATCATATGTAATGTATTAGTAACACATGGCAGGCAAAATGACTGATTTGTATAATCTATGTCAGACTTTATTGCATGGTGTGGGTGACCTATTTAACATAAATCTGATCATGCGATGTCACAAAATTTCAGCTTTGAAGAGTTTAATTGTTTGCATTTGCCGTTAAAGGAATTCATTTATGGTAACTTGTGAGTATATCTTATCAGCTCCCATTGCAATCTTATGAGTAATAATCTTATTATCCTCCTAATGTAAAGTGTTTGATTTATAACTAAAGTGAGCTGTGATAATTTTAAGTAGTCTAGGGAGTCTGAAGTCATGCTTCTCAGTTTGTGATTCTATCATGTGACAATTACTTGTATGGTTTCCATGAGAAAATATAATTTATTTATTTTTTGAACCCCAAAGACAACATGCATTTTCTTTCACAAAATAAAACTGTATTTTTTTTTTCGTGTTCTAGTTTTATAAAATTTTGAACAAGATTTTTAGCCAGTGGGACATTATGTGGATTTGAACCCAAATTATTAACAAAGACACTAGAGAATACATAAAAATATTGCATCAACATTGTTTGTAATGTTATACAGTAATATTGACAATTCTAAGAGTGTGATTAATTATAAAAAATTTATCAAAAAAAATATTTGCCAAACAATCCATGTCAGAATATTTTAATGATGAACTACTTTAATCTCAGTAACCCCCATATACCAGTATGTTTATTTCACTTATATTTAGAAAGGCTTCTTCTCAGATTCACAAACTAGTAGTTGGAGTAATGTGTCATTTATTAACATAAGAAAAATAAGAATCTGTTATTTTTGTTGATTATATTTTGTTTTAGATTACATAATATTATGAAGATAAACGATGGAGGTCTAATTTTTTTTTACAGATTTGCTTATGAGGAGTTATCCGGTGCTGTTAAAGAGAGATATTGTCATGACGATGATGATTATAAGAAGTATATAGCTCACCTAGCAACTTATTTTAATAATAAGCTTGAGGTAATAAAACATGTTTGTACCTAGCCACCACAGAGGGCGCAATACAGATTTAAAATTGACATACATGCATAATGAAGTCATTTGTGTTATTTATTAAACAAGACCTCCTCCTCCCAAATATTAATGTTTCCGATCACTGAATGTCATCTGAAAATGTGCGCCCCACGTAAATTTCATGGTAAATCACCAATAACTTGATATTTGTCTCTTTTTTTTTATCTAGTACCGGTACATTTTTAGCATATTTTTCTCTGATTTTTTTTTCACGCTTCACTTCTAGCTATGTAGTCCTGATCATAATACCAAAATCTCTAATAGAGTGATTAATGAGTTGCCATGGTTACTAGAGAAACTTGGAGATATTGACAGATTAAAGAAATGTCTTCTACATCTAGCTGTGTTCCTGACTTTGTTCAAGTAAGATATTTATTGTAAGCCGGGTAAACCGAGTGTGCGCATTGAATTTTATTGTGTTTCATTTATCAACACAGTCTGATTAATTTTTTTAAAAAAACCTATTGCATTTCAAAATTTTAGGTAAATTTATACATTGATCTGCATTCTGATTGCTGTAAAACACTATTCATAGTTTAATTTTTTTTTTTTTTATTTGTACTTTAGACCCCAAAAAACATAATATTGCTAATTTTTAGGTCAATTATTTACTGTTTATCTCAGGCATGCCTGAACTGATTTTGTTCAAAGACACTCACAAGATATAATGATATACTGTTACCTGTTGTATTGTTATCGGTATTTGATTTGTTGACATATGGCCAACTGCCGGCCGTTTTTTGCCTCTAATAAGCAATATCGCAACATGTCATATTTCTTTGACACGCTCAAGTCAATTTCATTTAATCATCAAATATGCGCAACTGGTGGCTGTGTTCAGTGTCAAGAAAATACTAATACTGTAAAATACTTTATTTTAGCTGGAATTAATTTTCCCTGAAAAGACTTTTTAGATGTTTTGTATGGAATTTATTTTCACTGATTTTTGACAAGTTGAATGTAAAATATAGGAAAAAAGGTATATTCGCTGGATTTCATTTTCACTGAGTTATTCCTTCAGCGAAAATAGCGAAAATTAATTCCAAGCGAAAATAATTTGCAGTACATGAATTTTTTTTTTCAAGGAAGTGAGCTTCCATAATCGTGATATTTTTCTATTTTCTAGAAGTGAATCTAAATATGATTTATTTGGTTACTGGAATTCAACTGAACTGTCAGGAGAAGAGATATCCTCACTTTATATGAAATCTATTGATCAGCAACTTGTGAATATGTATTTAGAGCAACTTGAATCATCAGAAACACCAGATCATCCCCCAGCAAAGAAGGTAAGGCTGGTAGTTTCTGTTAATCCAATCACTCATAATTTGTTGCTCCAACAAGAATATAATGTTTAAATAACATGATTCAAATCAAGCTGGCTAATTATTTATTATTTTTTATTGTTAAAAATGTAACAAAATCAGGCATTTCTACCATTTTGGACATGGATATCATGAATTTTATTCACACTTGGTACGTTATGGGACCTTGATGCACAACGTTATGTTTCACTAAATCTGATTCATTATGGCTGTCTGGTGGCCATTTTTATTTATATATGCTATATCTGCCATATGCCTGAACTAATTACATGTGAACTTTACACATGAATAATTGTTGTTAGGATACATATGATTTTTATTTTATTTGAGTCACAGTGCTAAAAAAAGAACCAAAATCTAACATGATATTGTCATTCTGAAATCTTTTTCAAATCACAGTCTAGAGATAGAGGGACTGTGTTCAAATATAGGTCGTCAATGCATGCTTGAAATTAATAAATTCAAGTTTCTGTTTCTTTTTTGCAGCTGGTGTCAATTGTGTACAAGATTGTTGAGTTTCTCTACGAAGCAGGATATTTGATAGGTACAATACCATTATTGAAAAGAGCAAGGCAGATGCATGTAAGTTCATAACTGGTTCCGTTGACAAGAACATCAAATAATAGTTTTTAGGACGGAGGGTAAGAAAATAATTTTTACAAACTGGGAGTTTCTCTGCTAGCATCGATTCGAATCCTGATTTTATAGTGCTACCATATCTGCTGTGTTTGGATGTATATCGAATAAAAGCATTATATGATCCCAAAACTATGCATCTGTTTTGGTGAGATTTTAAATACTGGTACACCACACAACTATGTACGTTTATTTCTAATAGAGCAAATAAAGTTTGTTCTTTATAGTGTAAGAATTAATTATCTAAAAAATAAAATTGTTAATTTTCTGGTAGATTAAAAATTAGCTAAATAATTTGCACATAAATAACAGAAATCCACAATATTTTGTGTGTGTAATAATTCAAGATTGATAGAGAATCTGCCAATTCTTTTGGCAAAGAAAACAAATTTGCATTAATTTTCTTTTGTGAATACGTTAATAGAACCTAACATGAATTAAATTTACAGATTTATGCTTTCTCCGGTAATAACGTGAATATTGATGACTCAGAATTGTATTGTAACATAATTAATCAGCTGGCAATTGTCTATGTGGATCTGGAAAACTTTGATGAAGGTGAGAAATTACACAAAGAAAATCTGGAAATGAAGAAACGGTAAGTAAATTTGTTTATGAATATGTATGTGTACATGTAGATGAATTCACAATTGCAACCAGCAATAGCTATTACCATCTCTTTCCACACCATCTAAGTATAGATTTGGAATGTCAGTCTGTGTCTATTTTTATAGTGCAAAATGTTTATCTTTGTTGAACATTTATGGTTAGTCTGAGGGTGTTGTATTTATAGTTTTATAGTATTTTTAATTCCACTGACACACTGATATGATATGATATGATATGATATGATATGATATGATATGATATGATATGATATGATATGATATGATATGATATGATATGATGTGATATGATATGATATGAAACAAACAAAGCAAAATTGGAAAGGGTAAACTTGTCACAACTGGAGAGAATTTCATCAATACTTAAATTTTGAAAAAAAGTGGCTCATAAATAAAGAGAGCTGAGAGAATCACTGTCTATACATTCTTTGATAATGCTAGATTGACAATGAAATAGGTAATGTTTTTTATCTATAATCTTGTTACAATCATGGAGTTTACGTAGTCTTTCTTCTCCCTTCATCCCTAAATGTCTCCCAGATTCAACTGGTGAGAAATGTGCCGATACTTAAGTGACTGAGCTTACTCAGAGATTGGTGGTGGGTGTGTGTGTGTGTGGGTGTGTGTGTGTTTATTACCAGTCATGAACATGTTTTTCCCCAGTTTTTCCGTTTTAAATACTGTATTTACTCTATTAGAATATAAGTGCATAAGCTAATATGTAAATGAGGTGAATTTATAGTCAAAATAACAATTAATTGCTTGCACAGTAAATGCATTTTTTGCTTTAGCATAAATACAGTTCTAAAATTTGGAACACTAACATTTGCTTTGTCTCCCCATTTATTGTGTTTAATTAGTTTTTGAATAGTGTGCCAATCAATTAACGCTTACATGGATTCACAAAAATAAATTTTGTTTCTGTTCCAAATTACTGTGGTCTAACGAAAGTTTAATATTTGACCTAGCTTTTGTACAAAATGAAATTCATGTGGAAATATGTTACCTGTGAGTTACTTTACTTTGCTTTATCCTTTTTGAAAATATTAGGTGTAATAATTAGAGGTAATATATTTCAAACAAACACTCAACTTATATAACCATTTTTTGTCTGTGTGTAGTGCAATGCATACATATATGTTCAAAAGGTCTATTCTGCCAATATATTGTATGGAATTAGCTTTTTCATCACCAGACTTTCTTGCCCAAATCTCGTTTGCACTTTTTTATTATATTCTTCAATATTTTTTTAATGAACCCTAATTTTGGAGCCATCAGACAAAATGTCATTCAATTTTTTAGTTTTTCCTCAAAGTGCAGACTATTTTGTGAATATGTAATGAAAAGAGTGAAAAGGTGAAAAGTGAAAAATTCATTCAAAAATTATTTGATGATATAACATGAATTGGACAAATATGTACATTAAATTTGGTAAAACCATACAAGGGGTTTACACAAAATCAAGCACATTGTAACAAAAGATAAAAGCTACCTAATTTTCATTGGTATTTGCAGACAGACTAGTAAAATGTAATGAGTTAGTGCACTCTGTCTACAATGAAAGCAAAACTAAGGCAACACATGAACAAATTATATACGAAAACTACAAGAAATTACTGAAACCAATGTGAGATACCCCGGTACCTACCAAAGCAGATCATGTTTGAATTCTAAAGATAGTTTCATTACCAATAGTCTAGGAGCTTTTATTAGTCCCCGTTCGGACGCAGTCCGAAAACGGGGACTTATGTTTTGCCCTGTGTGCTTCCGTCCGTCCGTCTGTGCGTCCGTGATCACCTGTATCGCGAACATGCATGGACCGATTAAGTTCAAACTTCACTCATACATCACACATTATATGGGACATATGCACATGCATTTTTTTCATGATCCGATTAACGATAGCCGAATAGCGGCCATTTTAAGGCCGAAAATGCATTGAAATCGCACATTTT